GGTGATCATCTTTTCCTTGACTGGTCGCATTCTTGTCTTTCTACTATGTTATGAGATATGTGAATTTCTTTTGAATGAGGCGATCATCTTCTTCTTGACATGTTGTCACAAAGGAATGTTATAAGTCCAATTCCTCTGACTTTTGGTTTCTCGGGGCACTTGCTTTCAAGAATGTGAAATGCTTCCTCATTCTGGCTTTACTTATTTTTTTTCTTCAAATAGGGGTAGAATAGGCATCAACTTGTTTCAAGAATCTTTCCCATTTGAGACTATCTTCTTTGAAAATATTTTTCCTCCTTTCTTATCAAATAATGAAAGAATGTTTTTTCAAATATTGCCCTTTATAGGTTCACAATAAAATCAAATCATGAGTTTAAAGATATTAAAAGAATCAACAGCTCTTTACTGCTTCAGATTTATAGTTCTTTGACAAGTATCAAAATTTATGGGTTGGTTTCAGGTTAGCTTTCCTATTTTCAATGGTTATATCTTATTGAAGATGTCACTCCTCTCTCACTCTTTGTGAACATTACCACATGCCTCACTTTCTTGACTTGGTATTTTAACCGGATACGGACAAAATGATGCAACTAGCATATGTAGTTACTAGACCTTCTAGAATATCTCTATTTCAGTTATATGAAATCTTTAATTCTAAGCAAAGCAGTGCGAAAATATCTATCCAACTAGATGCATGAATAAAGTAGCTTACTAAATGATCTAAATGCATAAATAAACTACTTCCCTAAATGAACTAGATGTTTTAAATGCAATGCATGCTTAAATGAACATCACACTTGTTAAATGCAATGAATGTTATGCAAACTTTTAAATTCTCATGCAAATTCATGCAAGTAAAAGATAAAATCCTCCCTTAAACTTATTTGTTTCTTATTCACATCCCTGCCTTGAGTATCATGGTGGAGGTTCTCTTTTGGATTCAAAAAGACTTTCATAAAATGATGCATTATATTTTGGTTTCTGATTTCTAAGTGTTGGAGGTCATTTTGGTTTAGTGGATAGCAAAGGTGAGTGTCTTTCATTCTTTGTGAATGGACATGTTTAAGGGTAAAAGAAGGTGTAGTGTAGGGTGTTTATTTAGCTAAAATTATATTATTGATGAATCTTTATTGATGCATTTATTTTATATGAATTATAATATGAATTGTGCAAGAGTTATGTGAATTGTGAATGTGTTGCAAATGATGCATAGAGATTTCAAAAGTGTATTTGAAAGTGAATATATATAAGTGAAAATATGCATGGATGAGTTGACCATCTCACTGTCCATATGAGGTTGATCATGATAACCAATAGTTATAGTGTTTCAAAATGTGTTTGAAAGTGTATATGTGAAAAACTATGCATCATTGGCAACCACTCTTGATGAAATTAGATTAATTGGCTATTTGTTCTTAATGGAACCTTTGGATATGAAAGGCTTGCCTAGGAAAGAGTACTCTATGTGTTTTTTACAAGTGTAAGTGATATCAGGATTATACGAGGAAAGGTTGGTGCGTTGAGCTTTTCTTCGAGAAGATCATGTGGTAAGGTTGGTTCATTGAGCTTTGCTTTGAAAGTCATGGGTTTTGGACCTAAGTGAGTCCACAAATAAAATGGAAGTTGTATGGAGTCTGTTTATCCAATGAGTGAGTTGCGTTTCGAACAAAAGACCATTGATCTTTAATTGAAAGAAAATGTGTAATGTATGTGACTTGCCAACGAGGTAATTGTGCATGAGTGCTTGTGTTGTTGTTGAATATATGAGAGCAAATGACATGTGTATGTTCTGGATTTCTTGTATAATTGTGATGCATGAAAACAAGAAATGAGCGAATATATGTAGGGATTTCTTTTTGCTTTGGTTAGTGCATTGCTTAGAATGTTAGTTGTTCACTAAGCTTTTCAGTTCACACTCATTGTTTAACACTTTTCAGATGATTAAAGTCATTTTTAGGTGAGGAGAGAACACTCGGTGTGATCAAGCAAGACATAAATAAAAAAATAAAAAAAGTGTATATGGTTATTTTTCTAAAACAACAATGTGGGACTTCCAATGGGGACTTAGATATTTGGTATCATAATGTTGTAATGGTGTTGCTTGAATGTATGGACTAATGATTTTTTGTTGAAGATCATTATATGGTTGATTGTTGAGTTAAAGTGTTGAATGCATGTTATAGATTGTATTGATCATGAATTTGCTAAATGTTGAATCGTACTTTAAGAAAGTGGTTGGTGTGCTTAGGCAATTGAAATTAAGTGTACTGGATATGTTAGACTCATAGGATGCATGAAATGAACCAAAATACATAATTGGACTAGGTGACTTGTGTTAAAAGTGAATGAACATGCAATGTTTGACTTTTGATGCCAAATTCTTGTATGTTGTTGTGACTTGTGTTATAAAGTATGATACATGTGTATTTTGATGTGTATGAGGTGGTATACAAGTGTCCAAGCATGTATCTAGCCCCTAGGATCAAATATGTAGAAGTTTGGTAACTCATTTATGCATGTTCTTGTGAATTATGTAATTTCCCAAAAAAATGATCGATCCTTTAGGGGAAAGGATTGATCTCTTGGCCTAGAGAATAGATCCCAAACTCACTGACTTGCATAAGATCGATCCTTAGTGAAAACGAATTGATCCCTTCCAAAAAAGATCGATCCCTTTTAAAAAATGATCAATCCTTTCGCTGTGACACCCAATGGAAAGTAGTCGAATTGCATTCATCAAAGGTCCTAAGTGTCCAAAAATCTTAGTTTGACCCAGAATGTTTGTATGAGTTTAATACGGTCCTGAAATTGATTTGTTAATTAATATTAGACCTTAACTCAAAATTTGTTGAGACTTGAGTTGTCACACATATATCTATTTACATAATGGAAGTGTCAACTACATGTTTGCTGATGGTATGTAACATTTGAATTGTTTAAGTTTTAGTCCTTATAATTGTATGTTCAATTAGGTCCTTGATTGATGCCAGATTAATCCAAAATTTGCATGTAACTAATTAAGAGTTAATAAAGAATGATGGTATTCTTAAATTTTACATTTTTTCTTTGAATAATTTAAATATGTGAAATGACCATTTTACCATTGTTTAGTTAATGATGTATATCTTGCCACGATTTGATGTTTGAATATTATTGTTTATCTGTTGTCATGTGTTGCATGATGTATGTTTTAAATTTGAGTGTTTTCGCATAGTGCGCTTGATTTAGGATTTGTTCTATCCGACATGATCAGAACGTAATGTACGTTCAGGAACCTGGGTAATTCTTAGTGATCGGGTATATGTCTCGTTTTGGATGCTCATAGAGGGATTAAAAACACTCCTAGGACTCAAATCTCTAAAAAAACGGATTAAAATCCTTTGGTCTCTAAACCCCCACTAAAACCATATTTGGTTTCTATGTTCAAAACTTGATCTTAATGGCTTGAATGAATGTTTAGGATATCAAGATTTCATTCCTTACCTTGTAATCCTTGATTTAGGCTTGTAAAACTAAAAGCTTCAACCTTTGCTCAACTCTTGGAGAGAAAAAAAAAATGACGAGGAAGGAAGGAAGAAGACAAAGAAGAGGTGGTGAAAAAAAGAGGAAAAGCAGACGTGAGATCATCAATAATTAAAGGATTTCAGGTTTTGAAATTCTAAATGGTAAAATTTACTCTTTTACTCCTTTATCTTTAATCCAAATATTAAAAATGCCCCTTTTTAACATATAAATGAGCTCTAACCAAGCTCAACCCTACAACCAAATAGACCAAGCCCTCCTACAAAATAAATGGGCTCATCTAAACCATCTCAGATTAACCCAAAACTTTAAACTTGCAATTTGGAACGTTACAATGGGGGAGACTATATTCAATGACATTAAAATAAGTGTGTGACAATAACACCCATCTGCCTTTGACATTTTTAGGATTGTTATAACGTGATGTAATGTGATATTTTTTTGTACTAAATCAAGATAAAAACAGACCAATTAAAATGTTGTCACACGCATCAAGGTCGTAGGTTTTGTTTTCAAAACCAAATACCAGCACTCTTATTTAATTTTTTCGAATTCATAATTTGACTCAAAATATAATAAATATACCTAATCTATCAACTTCTTCGCTCATATAAGGCACCGAAATTTTTCATCAATTGTTTTACCCTTGCTTTATTATTTCCTCAACTAGGAAAAAAATTACATTTGCTCTCAGAAGAGGATCATAACACCCGACATCTTCAAGGTTTTTATCACTGAACTTTTATGGATGAAAAGTTAGGAAACGTCAAGTGCTCCAACCATCTTCTAGGAAGATATCATGTGCTTCAACCCTTTTTAAGTAGCACTGTAGATTTCACCTCATCTCATCAAATATTTTTCTCCTCCCTCAATTTAGCCATTTTTTTCAACACTATGTCGAAGTCAATTTTTTCCTAATCTCTAGATGTTTTGGGTTCAAATACCTGCATCTATAAGGTTTTATTGTTAATTGATTAAGAAAATTTCGAACATATAACACTGATTAAAAAAATAGAAATAAAAGAAACAATTATCAGTTTCAGTCATTAAAAATATTTTTAAAAATTATAACTATATATATATTAAAAATCATAATATTTTTATAAAAAATTATGAATCTTAATATGTTTCAAAAAAAATTTAAGAATTTTAGATTCATTTAGAAATTGTTGTTTAGAAATTATCAAAATAAATTCTAACAAAAATTAAAGGGTCGAATAAAATTTTAAATATTAAATTAACAAGTCATATCGACAAGTTACAATAGTGAAACAAAATGTAAAGTTTGATAATTTTAATAATTATTTTATAATCTTGAGAAGTGTGGTAACCAAAACGATAAGAAAAAAGTATTATTGGTGTAATTTAGCTTAAATGTTGACAATTTTCATTCCTAAAATTGAGCGTTCGAGGAAGAACCGGCCTCTCCTCTCCTCTGTTATGAAAAATCATTTAACGTTCACCCGAACTCAAATCATTTCTTTTGATTTTCCTTTTGCGATTGGGTCCTCCTCCTCTTCTATGTGCAAAACCAAAAAGGCAGCCGACGCGTCTGAGCCTCAACCTGTTCCTTCCGGAAGTCGCCCGACTCAGCCTCCTCAATCTCAACCAACTCGCTCGACTCACTCCCCTCTAACTCATTCAAGTGGCCGCAGCCATTCCCCGATTCCCACCACTTCTAACCCCACCAGCGATGCTTACGCCTCCTCTTCATCTTACACCAAAGCAACGTCGTCAGGGACCGGGACATCAATTTCAAGCCGTACTTCACTCTCTAGCCTCCGCGATTCCCTCCCTGAAAACCCTCACATCTACCACATAAGCGAAATCCGAGCCGCCACCAACAACTTCTTAGCCAAACGCTACTCCTCCTCTTCGGCATCCACTGCCGCCTGTTGGCGCTGCAATCTCCGCAGTCGTGACACTGTCGTTTTCCAGCGCAAGTTTCGCCGCAAAATTCAAACATCTCAACTCAAAGAACGATTGTCCACCATTTGTAGAAGCCATCACGTAAGCATAATTAAGCTACTCGGCGCTTCCATCTCCGGCGATCATATTTATCTTGTTTACGAGTTCATCGAAGGATCGAATCTTGCTGTGTGCTTGAGAAACCCTAGAAATCTGAGCTTTACTGTTCTCTCGACTTGGATTTCGAGAATGCAGATCGCCACTGATCTTGCTCATGGCCTTGACTATATTCACAACAAAACCGGATTAAATCTGAGTATCGTCCATAGTCACATTAAAAGCAGTAGCATTATCATCACGGAGCCTTCTTTTAATGCAAAGATTTGCCATTTTGGAACAGCACAGCTTTGCGGAGAAACAGACCAGGACGAAACGCCGGAAATTGACATCTCGAAACGTGAAACAGAAATCGAACAAGTGACTGAGGAAGGTAGCGACGCGATTTTTAGGAAATTGAAGAGATCTGACAGTGGAGAAAGAAAGTTCGAAGGCGTGAGGGGTTACATGTCGCCGGAGTTCAGATCCAGCGGCGTCGCGACACAGAAATCCGATGTTTTCGCCTTCGGAGTGGTGATTTTGGAACTATTCTCAGGGGAGGAGATGTTAAAATACCGGTACGAAAAAAAGACAGGTAATTTTGAACGGACTTCTGTGATGGATACGGCGGCGGAAGCGGTGGCGGATGGAAGAAAAGGGTTGAGGAGGTGGGTTGACAGGAGGTTGAACGATTCATTCCCGGTAGAGGTGGGGGAGAAGTTGATACGTCTAGCGTTGGATTGCGTACACGTGGATGCAGATAAACGGCCGGATATGGGACGCGTGGCAGGGAAAATTTCCAAGCTTTATTTGGAATCGAAAATATGGTGTGAGAATGTGAATGTTCCCACAGGCATTTCGGTCTCATTGGCGCCCAGATGAGATGAGGTGGGAAACATGGCGGCTTTATTATTTTAAACATTTTTGCTGATTCTGTACTCAGACTCAGCTTATTGATTTTGACACCCATTTTTTTTAGTGTTTTAAATGAATGAATTTATATTGAGTTTAACGGATCCGGTAAAAGCTATTGAAATAGTCCATGGAAGGTTTCAAATTTGTTCATTAGCGAAAATGAGAGACCAGTGGTGTCAACACCAACTTAATATCTTGATTCAAAGAAATAGAAACTCTTCACATTGCTAGCAGATATTGGAATTTAGAGTCGTAGGGTATTTTCTCAACTCTGATGGATGATGTCTTATGGTTCCTGAAACACTCCACCATTGATTTCCTCAGTGAACCAGATGTAGGTAACTGCTGGCAAACCCCTTGCACCAATGACTTCATATCCACCGCAAAGTCAAGCATGTTCTTCACCACAAGTTCTGGGAATGCTATCTTTTTTTAATTTGGTCACCATGATTGATGCTTGCAGGTACTCTACTTTTGATTTCTCCAGCTCACCTGAAACTCCATCACCCGTGTATATTCTCACCTGGAAACAAACACACAATCCACTATATTCATTTAATCACAAACACTTCCACTCTTAATTACGTCAACTTACATCCGGAGATCGGGTTCTGCAACACAGAGCAAACGTGACGTTTCGATCCATTAACTCGAGTCCGAAAAGTTTTCCTACATTGGCTTCACGGCCGTCTTCTTTGTCACCCTTTGGATAAGACTTAAAGAGATCACGTTTCAGGATAATCAAAACCAGTACGGGGGCAGTAAAAAAATGTACCTGTTTCCTCAAAATATGGTGCTCCATCGCTTGAGCACTTATTGTGTTGCCTCCGACGTTGAGAGTTGCCTGACACCGATATGACATCGTTATTTAACGGCGTGTGGGGATGACATTTCTTTTAACACCTGCAAAACTAACCTTGTTGGTCATAGCCAAAATATCTTCACAAGTATTAGGCAGAAGAGGGAGGAACTTGAAAGAGAGGTATGTGGGGATATATCTGTCATGAGTAGCATGCATTTGTAAGATACACATGGATCATTTCTGGATAAATATGCCCCTTATGCACCAGCTTAGGATAATTTTAGCTTCAAATTTAATCAGCTAACCGAGAAATGGTATTTTCGGTTAGTTAGAAAAACATGTTGATGATTAATTTTCTATTTACAGGTTTCCATGCTTCAGAAAATGCTAAATCAAGAAGAAAAATTGCATGAGATTCTGACACTATTTCATTGTCAACAGGACGGCTCTTCTATCTCTATCCCAGATTTCCTCCCTCCAAGAGTAAGCCTTTTTCTACATATAATTACAAAAATATGTATGTATTTGGAAGCAACATATTACAACTGTAGAGCATGACGTGTTAGGATCAGTAGAAAAGATTGGATTCTACCTTGACTTATATATTCATTTTCCTTACATGTTCATATCTAATTAAAAATTGAGTAGTCAACATTTTCCTTGTATTTCTTTACCTTCTTTTTTCTCTCAGTAAAAGCTTCATGTTGGGGATTTTGATAAAAGTAAATCTACTACAGGATATATATTCAAAATTGGTAGTGGAACTGTAAGTTGGGTTTCAAAATTATAGTCAGGTGTGACTACATCCACAACAGAGACAGAATATGTAGCAGCTAGACAAGCCAATAAATAAGCAATCTGGTTGAAGATGATATTGGAGGAGTTTGGGCACAATCAAGAGTATGTCTCTCTGTTTTTTGATAGTCAAAGCGCCTTGCATCTAGAAAGGAATTCAATATTTCATTCAATGACAAAACACATACGAGTTCAGTATCATTTCATTTGTGAAAAGGTGGAAGAAGTGACGATAGTTATGCAGAAGATCCATACAAAAAACAACATAACAGATTTCATGACGAATGCAGTAAATGCTGATACATTTACTCAGTGTCGATCCTCTTGTGGCCTGTCAGAAACGTAAGCAACATGAAGGTACAAGGTAGTAAGAATGGTGTGGAGATATGATTATTCCAATCAAATCTTCAAGTGGGAGATTGTTGAAAGTCCAAGTTAAATTTAGCAGCCGGTAGGTGGTTCAAAGTCGGCAGCAATTTTTTGTGAAAAATTGGCAAGGGAAAATTACTAATTTAGTCCCTATACTTTAGGATATTTACAAGATTAATCCTTAAGCTTCAATTATAAATACCCTAACACATTTAGCTTCAAAATCATCAAAAATCATTCTAGTTTTCTCTCAATACTAGAGAATTTATAGAGTTTTCTTGAGAGTTGTTTTCTCCTTGTTAGATTGAAAGAAATTGTAATTCTTATTTTCTTATAGTGAAATTCTTCTATCTTTACCCGTGGTTTTTACCTTATATATTATTTAGGGGTTTTTCACATAAAATTTGTGTCTTCTTTATCTTTATTTTTATTTTCACAAATTATAAGTTACGATTTTGCTCTATCCGATAGTCGTATTCTGCAACAGGAAGATCTAACTGGAATCGTTGTGGTTATACATTTCAAAATCCATCCATTTCCTAAGAAATCAGCTACCACAAAAACTGATCTTTATAGCCTTGCACTCTGTTGTTCTCACTCTAGTTTTAACAAAAGAGAGACGATGCTTTACTATTTGTATAAGATGTGTATGTGAATGTGTATGAAGTAAGAAATAAGGGTGATGGAGTTCATCTTCTTTGGAAGGTTACCATACAAACGAAAGCAACAATACGGTTAAGCACACCAGTTGCCACAAGGTATGTCAGGCAAGGACGGAAATTCTTTACATCATATCCGTTCTCAGAAAGCGAACCACATCGCGTTATCAGCCATACACCAGAGTACCTAAAACCAAATTAAAAAAAAAAGATGGCTGAACTTCAATACAAAATATTAATGGTTGAAGCAACAATGACTAGTAGTATATGGTGGATTCTAGAGAATAAAAGCTGACATTTTAGCATTCGAGACCACAAAGGCTTCCAATGCCCACTTGGTATAGCATAAGTCACCAATAAAATTAACAACCTCGCCGTCACCACCTTAAGTTGCTATCAGAGTCAAAACAACTGGAAGAAGCACTGACCACTGCATGAAAAAATCCAAAGGTAAAACAAGTAACTGACCACTGGATTCACATCACACTTGACATATTCACAATTCTTACCAGTTGAGCTTGACCTTGCTCAAAAAGGATGGAGAATATATACGCTATGCCGGTCACACAGTATACCAGATAGAGTAAAACAAAGTAATTATCGGTGATGGTTGGTCTTGGATTGTTGAAGAAGAAGAACATTGAGAGATACACCAGAGGCTTGATTCTTGTATTGAAATGGTCGACTGTATCCTTAGCAAGAAAGTAAGCCAAGCTGCTCATACCAGATGAACGTTCTCTCCAGTAGTGCAGTTTATCCAAACCAAAGCTTCTCAAAGCTGCTATCTTGCATAGGAGTGCTGAAAGCAATTGTATTTCACATCGGTGAGAAATGGATTAAAACTTTAATCTTGTAAAATTTTTACTGTCATGTTCACAGATTCAAGGAGATGAATGAAAGAGGACTTTTAACTTACAAACTCCAATAACTGTGAATGTATAACCCATTATTGCACCAAATGTCTCATCACTCACTTCAGCTAGTATTCCCAAGCAAAGTCCAGCGAGCAATAAAATTAGATAATCTACCACTTATGTCCTAGCGTCTCTTAACCGTTGTTTTCCAAGCCTGTCAAGAATTCGGACATCATTAAAGGTTTAAAACTATGAGCCATTATCGTTTTATAAATTAATACTTAATTATTTTACAAAATAATTTTTATTTTGAAAATTTGGTGATTTATGAATTGATTTGAATAAAATGCAAAAGGAGTCGTCATCGACCTTTGGGTTAGGAAAGTCGAATACCTAAAAACGTCTTTTAAAAACAATTTTAAGAAAAATCATTTTTTAAAGACAAAAATGGTCTATGTCACCATAGATTCGATTAAATGGATTTGGGAGTCGGTTACGAGTGGGGAAGGGTTAGCACCCCACAACGCCAAAAATTGGTACCGTATCGCTTACATATCGTCGTAAATGGTGGAGATTAGGAATCAAATATAAAATTAAAATATGATCCATTTATTGAACATTTATTAATTTGCTTCAAATTATTTAATTAGGGAAAATTCTTTAACTCGAAAAGAAACTTCGAGATTAGCAATCATCCATCGGAAAAGCTATCTCGTCTATTTCTTATCCGTAAAAAATATTCCCTCATCGATAAATATGTGAATCGAATATAAATTAAAAAACGATGTTTACATACAACAAAATAAATTGATTAACTAAAAAATGTGAATTGAATACAAATTAAAGAAATTTGAAGTTTACATTCACATAAAATAAAGTAAATTGTTACTTAAAATAACACACATTACATCATTAAAACAAATTAATTACTAAAATATACTCGAATTATTTCAAGTTCTTATGTCGTTAAAATGTCGTACCGGATCGCACCACTTCAACCAAGTGATGCTTTCCACGCTCATTTTACTAATACGTGTTCTTGAAATTATTAGAATAACATTAATAGTTAAGGAAATAAAATAGGAATAAAATAGTTAACATTTTTAATATAACGTAAATACATGATATTCGAAATATATACATACCCAAAGGACTAAAACAAAACAATAAAACATTACACCTCAAAATATAAATAGCCAAATAAAGACATTTGAACAGTTAAGGGAACAAAATTGCAAAAATAGAAACTTAGAGGACCAAAATTGCAAAAACATACATTTAAAGGGCTAAAATAGAAAAATATAAACTTAATGGACTAAATAGAAAAAATAGAAACTCAGAGGACTAAAATAGCAATTACAAATAACTAGAACCAAAATCCTAAATATTAAACATTTCATGTACTAGAAATGAAAATAATATCTAACTCATATAAAAGACTAAAATAAAATAACCAGAAGCATAAAAGACAAAACAATAATTACACCAAATGCCCAGCAATTATTAAAATACAAAATTTACAAATGCCATGGCCAGATTTGAATATCAAAGAAAAAATATACAATAAACTAA